CCAGTAGCATCATCGCAAATTGTATGACTGGCCGACGCGGGTGAGGCGGGAGGGGCGGAGTACAGAAATTGTTGCCGAGATATGTATAACAGGGGCGAGAGTGCATGGGTCGCAACATGTATGACACGGGCGATGTATGACAGAAGGGCGGCGAGTAAATTACAATCTGGAGCAATATGAGAGCTGTGGCGAAATCCAGTAGCGGTATCGCAATTTGTATGACTGGTCGACGCGGGTGAGGCGGGCGGAGTACAGAAATTGTTGCCGAGATATGTACAACAGGGGCGAGAATGCATGGGTCGCAACATGTATGACACGGGCGTTCAGATCCAGTCATTCATTGTTGAGTATATATGACAGAATCAAGGACGCAACGTACGCTACCCTGCGGTCGTGTGGTAATCAACTGCCGGCAACTATATGACACAAGCTGTAGGGTGTCGTGTAAGCGCGGGTACGCAGGTTGTCAATGATTGTATGACAAGAGCAGAGTCAGTCATAGCTGGAAAGGCGCTAGGCATGTCAATGTACTTGTCGTCGTTTATGCACCGTGCGTTGCAGGCAAGTACCGGAGATTGTATGACAAAGGTGGTCACCAGCAGTGGCAGTACTGTGCAGATCTCATCCCGCTTCCAGCATGTATGAATTTCATATATCAGTAGATCATCTTAGTTCAGGAACACTACGCAATGATTCGAATCCACCACGCAGAGGCACGATTACTGGGCACACTGGCGGGATAGACCTACTTCATTGCTACATTGGCAAGTAATAAACCGTTGCCACTGCCTTCACGGTGGCCCATGCTTCGTCCAAGGCCTTGACGACTTCTTCGGCTAGTGTTTCATCAACGCATGTGACGGGACGCAGCAACGAGGTCGAGTTAGGTGTTGAACGATATAAGGACACGAGGTACATACGAAGAGGTCCCTTTTCCAGATCGACGAGATTCTGGCGGTACCATTGATTATGACAATGAAGCAGAGATGTAGAAGTGCGATCGTACCTGTTCAATGTACTTGAGGCTGGATGCGCCTACCAGGACTGAATCACCATGCTCACGCCTCAGGAGACTGTGATGAGACATCCAGCGAAGTGCTGCAACGACCGATGACAGCAAAACCGAGATTCAGATTTTCGTCGGGAATAAAGCTCAGAGGAACTAACCGACTTCACTCAAGGTAAGGCCGTGCTTGTCAGAGACCTCTTTGATGATTTGTACCGCTTTGAAGAAAGGATCTTTCCAATACCGCCCACGCCACATCTGAAAGGAGGCGTCATGAAGCATCAGCATTATCGGCGTGGTGGATACGCATGCTTACCTGCCCAAGCGGCCTCGTGGAATCAAATCGCGAGCCGTTTTCGACTTCATCTTCCGGTGTAAGGTAACGTCCGGCAAAGAAACCACCACCGACTGCGTTGCGCTCAAAACACCGAACCAAGCTAAGGTTTTTGGAAGAGAATCGACTCACGGACATCGTATGCGTAAAAACTAAGGCCATAGTAGCGCAGACAGGGAAAGAGCTCAGGCTCGACATTTCTGACCAAGGGATGTTAACATCAAGAGTTGGCGGTATTCGCGTGAGATCCACTTACCGTTGGACAGCGCTATAGACGCCTTGATAGACAGTCGGCGTAACGTATCCTTTGACCTTGCAGATCTCGCACACTTGTGCCACCTCCCAGCTTGTGATGTCATTCGTTAGTCGGTATGTCGCTAGCAGAGCTCGACGACGTACGCCATGTAGTTGCTAATTCCGAAGCGCTTGAACTTGCCCTCCTTATGAAGTTCGTTGACGGCTTCCAGCGTTACTTCAAAGGGAGTGGAGCGACTAGGGACGTGTAGATACCACATTTCTAGGCAACTAATCAGAGCTAAGGAACACCGTTGATCGAGCCTCGAGGCGAAAAAGATGACGCACTCAGTGTTCGCTGCCTTCAGCGATTCATCCATGTACTTTCGTATATCATCCGGACGATGCGAAGCAACAAAGTTGCCGAACACTTGCGAGGATGTGTTAGAGAACAGCCCAAAGGCTATCGGTGTACATGTCCGGAGAAGCACTCACTGGGTGCCCTGTACGCCTCTGGCAAGTCTTCGGTGGGGTACAGCTTCGTCTCGAGCTTAAGGCCCTTCTTTGCAAGGTCCAGTTTGGAGAGCTGACTCTCGGAGGTGCCGCCGCAGTAGACACGAGCCGTGTCCAGCTATAATCATGAATCGAGATCCTTCGAGCCATCAAAGGACAAGTCTGACGGCGTACCTCGGTGTGTCCATGCGCCGCGAAGGTATCGATTATCGCCTCGATATCTGACATGAAGGGTCGAACCTCGCACGCTTGGATTGATTGAAGAGGACAACGGACGCACCCTTAAGATCCGACACCCGAGTGCCCTCCTTACCGGCTTCTCCGAAGCCCATGCATCCCTGCAGCAGAGTGACCATGAGCGCCCGATTTACGAAGAGTTCTCATTAAGACCGTTGCTGACCATCACGACGTTAAGAGCGCTCTTTTGCGCGTTGCTGATGGTCATGATCGCAAGCGCGTGCTGTGCCTTGCTTCATGTCGAGAGGTTCACCATGGTCCATATATACTCGTATGGCTAGTCCTCGTGAACGAAGAAAGTGGGTCGTAAGGCGCAGCCTGAGTCAGACGAAGCAACTGTGCGAGCGCGATCCACTTGGAACGAGACCATATTACAATGCAAGCTACGAGAACGTGTCCGTATGGATTCTTCTCGGACGCGGCATCTTCTACCGTTTCGAGCTTGAACGAGAGCTGTGCGTCCCCGTCCGCCCTCAAATCGTCCATGTCGACGTCAGTAGTTAAGAGAGCGGTTCGCCGATCGAAGCTACGATTTGCTGTGTCGAGTCTCTGCCGAGGTTTGTAGTCAATATGCCTGCTTCTATGAGCGTCGTGTCGTGCAATCTTGCGTGCGTATGGCCGAGTGGCCAAGGCATCTCACTACTTCGAGGAAACTTATTTTTCTTGTTTCTCGCGTTGTTGGCGTCGTGCAAGCTTTTCGGCCTTTATGCGATCCAGCTAATCGCGCAGCGAAGATTGGTCCATCGGTAGCCGCTGCGTCGGAAGAACATAAGACATACAATATCTCCTCGTTGCACTAACAGGGCACGCACTGTCGTCAATCGTCCTTCCGGTACAAAGATCCTGTTCCTGTACTGCAATAAAGTTATTCCATGATACATACGAGCCGGTCAAGTGCGACGCTCACCGGTACCACGTACTTCCTGTACCATTCTGGGTCTCCGTAGTGGACCATCATCGCCACCGGAAAGAAGACGTATAACGCAAACTTGAAGACCTCCAGATTCGGGCCTCCCATGACAAGAGACGGGGAAAGAGGGATTTCAAAGCAAGTCTGAAGAGAGCGGATGTCGGCGCCTTGAAGACGTGGTTCCGCTCGAGCCCCGGCGAGATGAAGCGAGCCCGGCGAAAGCCGAAGTCTCTGATACTTATGCGCCGTCTCTCTCGTGCTTCTTTGCGTCGTGAACTAATCTATGTATGACCCGCACTCTCTGACTGCACGCGATATGCGCATGGACCTTGGATCTCGTTCTTCCCACCAGATGTAGCTCGCATGGACTGCAACGCAGCTTGGATTCTGCTCGTGGCTCAACAATCGATACATGCGCGTTGCACTTCGGCTGGCACGCTGCGGGATCTCTCCTGGAGCTCGATGACCCGTACCTCGTCGGTACCCAATCAATCTTGTGAACCTTTGGAGGGACTGTTGGACGACGTTCTCGGGCCGTCCGAATCAGCGCTGCAATGACGACAGTTGCACCACGTCAGGTGCCGGGAGTGTTGGCGTCGACCCAGGGATCTCATAAGAATCGGCGCGGTTTCGTTGGCTCAATCTGTCTAGCTACTGATTTATCGAATGCCAAAGCAATATCACTTGAAGTCCTTGCTTGCGATGACTGCGATACGCTACAGGAATCTGCGTACAGATGATATTACAGCCTCAGAGCTCCATGCGGGAATCGGGAGTCACGATGAAACGAGGGGCAGGAGTTCGGTGGTATGAGGGCCTATGATGGGTGTCACATTATCGACAGAGGTCTCCAATCACAGCGCAGCTTTCTGCTGTCACTCAAGTCCGTCATTCCAGTGCACACGAGGTATGCACGATGCCCATTGTGCCTGCAACGATACACCGCTAACTGAAGATGAAAGCGATGCTTCTGCGCATGTCATTCCTATGATTAGCTTCGTGGATGGCAATGCACGCAGAATAACCCCACCGTGCTGCAGTCATGCGCCCTTCCCAGGCGATACACGTGCGAACAGCCATCATCGCCGCCTCAACCCCAACGGGGCCCCTCGGCGCTAATCGCGATACAAGCTATCGACAAGACACCGTCGAGTCGCATCTCCTTCGCTCCACCGTCTCCTTCACCCGCGCTCATACCAAACTCCATGGGTGACAGTCCGGCATCTCACACCGCAGCTTTGCAGGAGGAGATCGACAAGTTGGATCGGGTGAGTGGCGGTCGGCTGGAGCGCGCTGGAGCAAAACCGGAGACTTAGCATGGCAATCTAGGGCCTCGACTCGATACTTCGCACTGACGACCAGTTTAGAACGTCTCTGCGCACGCTGAGCAGACTATGCGGAGAGAGCGGGCTTGTACCCACAAGATACAGGTTGCCGGGACTGGCAAAGGTCGGGGATGATCCGCCCTGCGCTGGTGGATTCGCGGATGTGTACCCAGGGACCTACAATGGTACTTCCGTCGCGCTGAAGGTTATTAGACTGCACACCAGAGATCGAAAAACGTATATGAAGGTGCGTTCCTCATCGCGCTACGGGATAAAACTATACGCTGGACTAACTTCATACCGATGGTCAGGTCTTCTGCAGGGAGGCGGTCGTTTGGAAGCGACTGATTCATCCCAATATCGTCCCCTTCATCGGCGTTGAACCTAGGAACCAAGCATGCATCGTGTCGGAATGGATGGATAACGGCGATATTATGTCGTATCTCGAAGACCACCCACGCGCCAATCGCATTGATCTCGTGAGAGTCGCATTGATGCGCACTGCGCCAAGCTCACAAAGACACTCGCAGATCACAGACATCGCCCGTGGCTTGAATTACATGCATGCGAGCGGACTCGTACACGGGGATCTCAAAAGCGTGAGTTAGCGGCCTCCTGAATGGTCAACCCAGACTCAAGAGTCGCCGGAACCTAGCGCAACGTCCTTGTGGACAAAATCGGGCGGGCACGTCTTAGCGATTTTGGTCTTGCCACGACGATCCTCGGTACCGCCTCTTTGGCGGCAACCGCCGGATCGTCCGCAAACTGGGGCTCGATCTGTTACATGGCTCCCGAGTTGAACGATCACATGGCGAAGAATAAAATCTTGACCTCGAAGTCCGACGTATATGCGTTTGGTATGACCACATGGGAGGTGAGCGTAGGCCGGGTCGCTGAATCACCTAAAATAATTCGGTTTACAGATCTTTGACGGGAGACACCCATTTTACGACGTTCAAAATGTATTCGTGATCCTTCGTCAAGTCCTTGATGGTACACGACCAACGCGCCCTGTGCACGCGCAAGACCTAGGCCTGGATGATTTTATATGGGAGGTTGTCATTAGCTCGTGCTGGTTAGCAGACCCGTCTGAGCGACCTGACATGTCGGAGGTACTAGCATGGCTGGGACCATATAATTCTGCTCAAGGGCTCGTTGCGAAGCTGGTACATGAAGGTCTCTCGGATGCCGATCGGCAAGTGCTCGATCAGCTGCTGTTTACAGGTGAGTCATGACCCTAAGGTTTCCTACGAGCTCTGCACTGAACCAGCATAGAAAAAGGCAGACATGCTGTGCGCTCTGTCGCTAATGTACCGAGGCTTTTTGAGTCTCTTGATATCGCGTTGGAAGCGATATCGGACTCGTACCTGCAGGAGACGCATGCGATCGATATAGTTTTGGTTCTCAGCGTATATTCTTCGTTGCCGCCGGGTGTGAAGCCATATCCCAGGCGTATTATGAAGGAGCTGCTGTCGCATGTTGACCGGAAGCGACCCGGAATTCGGAAAGATATGGAATGGATGATGCAGGACGGTGAGACACGGTTATCGGATGTGTTATTCGTATTCTACCTTCCAACCCCCAATTTTGTTTACAGCGACACCGCTGCGGCACGCAATGCAAGGCCATACTGGCGATGTGAACTCCGTCTCATTCTCTCCGGATGGCTCGCAAATTGCGTCGGGCTCCGAGGACAACACCATCCGAATTTGGAACGCGAACACCGGAAAAGAAATCCGTGAGCCTTTACGGGGACACATGCTCAGCATCCACTCGGTGTCATTTTCCCCCGATGGAAAGCGCCTTGCCTCGGCCTCAGGAGACAGGACCGTGCGACTGTGGGACGTGCAGACAGGGCAACAGATCGGGCAGCCGCTCGAAGGGCATACGAACTGGGTTTACTGTGTCGCATTCTCACCCGACGGCAACCGCGTCGTCTCGGGCTCATGGAACGAGACGCTCCGACTCTGGGACGCGCAGACGGGACAGGCCATCGGCGAGCCTTTACGGGGTCACTCTACCGGTGTTAACACCGTCGCATTTTCACCGGATGGGAAGCACATCGCCTCTGGATCCCACGACAGCACGATTCGACTCTGGGATGCTGAGGCAGGCCAGCCAGTCGGAGACCCGCTGCAAGGCCACCGTAGCTTCGTTTCGTCCGTTGCGTTCTCGCCCGATGGCATGCGCATCGTCTCGGGTTCCAAGGACAACACGGTCCGGGTCTGGGACGCTCAGACCAGAGAGACGGTGCTGGGGCCATTGCGAGGACCCGAGAATTGGGTCCGCTCCGTGGCATTCTCGCCGGATGGCAAGTACATCGTCTCCGGCTCCTCCGACAGCACGATACGGATATGGGACGCGCAGACGGGACGGACCGTGGCCGGGCCTTGGGATGCTCACGGCGGCTACTGGGGCGTTTTATCCGTTGCGTTCTCGCCCGATGGCATGCGCATCGTCTCGGGCGGCGACGACACCATGGTGAAAATATGGGACGCGGAGATCGATTAGGCTGCCCTGGCCGCTCAAGGTGAGATTGCCTGCTAGGTGCGTGGTCCACGCTCGCTCCGTACGGACTTGCCTGACGAGCCGATGGCAACGGACAGCGGCGAAGCGTTGCATGGTTATATGCGCATGAAGTTGTCATTATCCACGATACGAAATCCGTACAGCTCTTATATTACCTTGGACATTCCCCGAAGTTGGAATGGCGCGGCGGGGGCCGTTGACGTGTCAGAGACTGTCGTTATTCCGCCAAGATCTCCATGAACTCGACATGTAGCGTAGGTCGTTTGTATTTCCCTTGGCTTCTCGATGCGCGCTCGTTGATGCGGTGCTCTGATGTATGACATGTTGTGCAAGTAGCGGTCGTCCCAGAATCGACAGTGTGTCATTCGTTGGATTGCTCATGATGGAGAAGTACAATGATGACTGGCGGTTAATCGGGGCGCCGGGGCCCTGCACACCCTTGTTTTCTCATATCCATCGAGCGAAGGTACGCCCATCGGGGTGAAGTGCGGACCTTAAGTGCAGCATCTGCATGCGCCAGCGCATGGCGAGGTTGTGGCCTTTACCTCATGCATGTCATTCTGAATCGCGCCGCTGTCTTGCAATCGGAGTGCTCCCGCGCGGATTCTGGTGGTTCGTAACGACGTGCGCATCACCGATATTCATGGTCCGTCCTCCCAGCCACTCGCCGTTCTATTAGATCTGGCACGTTCGACATCCGGACGGTGCTCGCGACGGCGCAGATCGGGGATGACCTGCGGTGCAGCATCCGCACAGGGGAGCAAAGACCAACGCACAGCGTTGCACGTCCGAATCTCCGAAGATTGAAGATGCCGCATCGCCGTGGATTCGATGCCGACTGGCATATGCGCGTGGCGACGGCACTGTTCGACTAGTTTCTGATGCCCGCGAACCCGACGGGGCTTGTCATGTTGAACATGGTCACTCTGTGGAGCATGGCTTACGCTCGGCGGGGGAGCTACACGCTAGCTACGCAGACATACCGGACATATAGGGAGAACTCACTATCGCTGAGTAGGTGGAGGTATCATGAATGTCGCCAGCCGTACGTAGCCTCCTGACCATCCCGGGTTTGTGATGTGGTCGTCGTCGTGCATTTCTGGGCATCGGGGCGCTAGCACATATGTGAGACGGCGCTCGAAGCGTCGGAGATGCTTCGTCAACTCACCCCGAGCACGCATGCATGAACGGAAGGCGACGACACACACATAAGGCATCGGGCAGCGTTCGTACGAAGGGAAGACTTCAAACTAAACTAGAGGTGGAGGCAGATGCCGGCCACGATCTTCAAGCTGCCGCTCGACTCATTCACCGCAACTGTGGAGGATGTCAGAATACGGGCAACACGATGCAGATATCGGGACTGCGGACATTCATGGAATGGCCCGGAAGAGAATCTCCCGTGGTTCGTTCGGCCTCGGAGAACTTGCGTGCGGCCGGATTGTCAACAGGTGGGCTTGTAGACAGCGAAAGCGATGCATCGCCGTCGGAGACTCGATAGGAACTGACGCAATGACGTCGAGCGAGGCCGAGGCAGGGGTTGCGAAGAGCGGGAAACTTAAAGGCTCAATGCTGGCGGAGTACTCAGATGGTCTTGAGCGGCAAAGACTTCAGCGGGCGCGCATACATGAGCGCGGACAGGTCGCGTGGAACGGGACCGACGCATGCATTGCGAGGAGCTGAAGAACTGACTTGAGCGGCGCTGCGGCGAGGACCGTGGACGCGGTGTGCGGACAAGTCGCTCGATCCCCCACAGGGACTCGACAGTAGTGACACGATCCAGGTTGGGGGGTACTTAGCTAGTGGAAGTACCGACGCGACGATAGAGGAGTGCGGAAATTGGGCCGCGAGGCATCTGCCGAAGTGTACAACTCTTGCTCAAGCGCTCGTGCTCGTTATCAATGCATTTTTTCTCCAACTGCCACTGCGCCACACGACCTCGCTCGTCGGACGCTATTTGGTTCGTTACTCAATAGCCCTTTGGTTTCGGTGTCTGTTACTCCGCGATGCATCCGTCCTCCTCCCTGGCCTCGTACGCGTGGATCAGCGCACCCAGAAGTCAACGCGGGCGCTCGACATTCAATCCCGACCTGCTCGTATCTAAACGACTCCATTTGGCCCTTCCAAAGTCATCATGTGTTCCACCCACGCATGAACCGCGTGCCCGCATCCTGCGCTTATGACTCGTTCTACGACTCGAAATAGTTTGACCGTCGAAGTCTCGAGCCAAGATCGCGACACTATCGACGAGTGGATGACAGCTTCCTTTCAACGTCGCGTCCCGCATAGTACGTATACGGACACCCATGCCGCAGCCTACACTCAACAGCGTGCTTCGCATCTCGACATCTGCACATACCTGGAGAATACTCGAGGGCAAGGCACGGGGTTCGGGGGGCATAGAGGGCTGGCACATACGGAGAATGCGCAGACGCGCGAGCCCTCCTAGCGTCAGCCTGATAGCACTTGCGTGCAGCTGGTCCAAAACCTGGTGTACGTCCCGCTAGCGAGGGGAAGGATTAGCGCCCGCGATTAAGCAGCCTTCGAGAATACATCGAGCAAGTCCAATGCATGGGTGGCGAGGGAATGAAGAAGCCTAACGCGGACGGAAAGGTCAAGGTCTTGGGCAAGGGCACGTACACGTGAGGGCGGACATCTATCCAGAGTCTGCGTTGGGTGGAGATGCATGTGCGACCGCGGACGGACAGGCTCAGAGAGGAAGGGGGAAGCGCCGATGTCATTGGAAACACCCATGCCACGAACTCAGTCGACGTCCATCTCTTGCGCCTCCTGTGACTTGGTCGACTGCCCTTGCGTCCGTGCACATTCGAAGTTCGTATCGAAACTCTAACTTTAGATACATAGCTCAAAGGTTTCGTGGGGTCTTCTTCAACTCCACATCAACGCCGATGTGTACGATGTTGGGGCACGAACGGTGCCCGAACGGCTCGCAGATACGCACGATCGACATGCTAGCGCTCATATCCGCTCAACACGCGACTCGCACGCACCGGAGAAGAATCCATGCCGAGAACAACCTCACGGGTTTAGCTACATTGCCTGCAGGGCGCGGTAAGCGTTATATTACCCCTCCTCACCTCGTTCCTCTCAAACCCCTCTCCTCCTTCTGCATCACCCGTCCTCGATGTCGGACCAGTCTACCCGTGAGTCGTCGGACTCGAGCAGCGATCACCCACCACCACCCGCTGTCCCACAAACTGCGGTGAGCGGTGCGAGTCCAGTTGCCGAAGAGACACGGGGCCCATCGCCGGTGCTTGCTGTGCCAGAGAGTGACGAAAAGCTTTCGTGCGGCTGCCTGAAACAGGGCCGGAACCTCGTCGTATGCATCGACGGAACTGCGAACCAGTTTGGCCTGAAGGTTAGGGCGTTGTCTCAGCTGTCAACTTCTTGGTGATGGCTTATTACTCTCGTAGAACACGAACGTGGTGGAACTGTACAGCCGCCTCGTCGACTCCAATGAACAACTCGCATACTACGACAGCGGGATCGGCACGTACGTCAAGGAGCGATTCTCTCTGCGTTACGTCGCACAAGTCATCGATCACACCATCGACATGGCGATTGCATGGTCAGAGGATCCATGCATACCCTTCGACGGTTTCATCTGATCGTATCGACGTCGTACAGGAACTTCAAGGAGATAGTCCTCAAGGCCTACGAATGGTTGTCAGAAAACTATCGGGCAGGCGACCGCATATTCCTATTTGGTATGTTCTCACTCCGGTATCTTCCGCTTTGTCTCTCACCTCTCCATAGGGTTCTCTCGCGGAGCCTATCAAGCTCGTGTTCTCGCAGGTATGATACAAAAGGTGCGGTCATACTCTCAGTATCTTCTTGACCGGCGACTGACGTTTTCTTGGAAGGTTGGGCTCCTCAAGAAAGGAAACAATAGGCAGATACGTTTGTGCGTGCACCACTGTTCATGGAAGTATGACGAAGGCTGATTGCATTCAGCGCATACGAGTTGTATGAGTCTGCCACCGCCCACCAGAAGAGACGGTTCGAGGACGCTGGCAACCCTACGCAAGAAGACGTCGAACAGAACAACAGATGGCGAAGACTACTGAGAAAGATGAAGCGACAAGGGTTCTTCGCCTCCGCCGCGAAGGCGGATGCCCGCCCACTGGAAGGCTCTGCTGACGAGAAGGGGCGTCCGGCGCTCGGTGGTCCGAGTGCTGGCAAGCCTGCGCAGTCCGATGCCAAGGATCACGGCCCACGGAAGAAATCCCCGAAAGAACGGGAGCCAGAGGCTCCTTCTCCCGAAGACCTGTGCAAACACTTCAAGTCGACGTTGTCGCGCGAAAACGTGAAGGTTCACTTTGTCGGTGCATGGTAGGTCACGCCTTCCGTGCGCGCGGCGACGCTTGCTAAGTGCGGCATTCCTAGGGATACTGTATCGTCCGTCGGCATTGCTAGAGGTCCTACGCTACCCGAAACAACCACCGGGATGTCGCACGTCTGTGCGTTCAGACATGCGCTGGCACTCGACGAACTGCGGGTCAAGTTTCTGCCCGAGTACGCTAACGGAGGAGCTGGGCCGAAGGAAAGCAAGGGCAACGTCAAAGAGGTATGGTTCGCAGGCTCGCACTCAGATATGTAAGCAAAATACATAGTATGAACGGAATCTTCCGATGGACGCTAACAGAAAATGTCGCAGCGGGGGAGGGAACCTACCGAACCTTGAAAGCGACCGTTTCGGACCAGCGCTTCGCTGGATGACGTACGAAGCCGACCTCTGGGGACTCCGGATGAAAGCCGACAGGGGCAAGTGGCACGCATCAGAACTAACCAAGTCTATGAACTGGTTCTGGTGGTTCCTCGCTTCCCTGCCGATCAAGCGGCTATCGTACAAAGACGCGGAGAGCACAAAGAGATGGTAAGTTCGCCCTTTGGCTTACGGTGTCGTGAACTTCTGCTCATGTCACGCAGGCCGCCTCATCGCGCGGCACCTCGGAAAGTGATGGAGGGTCAACTCATTCATGAGTCTGTCTTCGAGCTCATCCACGAGCCCGTCCCCGATGTCAGAGAGCGCTACATACCTCGCGCTCGGCTCCCGCCTACCTGCTCCGCATCTTGGGATTCCGTTGAGTTGAAATATGAAGTGAAGATGGAAGAAGATTCCTACGTTTCCGCCCGCGCAATCATCGGCGATCTCAACAAGAAGCTCACTCTTACCGAGAGACAAATAGAGCGGCTGGCGGACCTGCCTTCGTCAGGCAAGTGTTCGCTTTTTCTAGTACAAAAGCGATGATGAACGAACGGGACGTGGTCAGATCGTGGACGACAGCTCATCATCGACTACCCAAACTCCTGCACGGTATTGCTCGACGCGCTTGAACGAGAATCCGGACGCGAAGATGGAGACACGCGATCAAACCTGCTCACAAGCGTTGCGATGGCAATGACAGCGTTTCGCTTGGTGCCCCATGCTCAGACGCGCGCAGTAGCAAAGCTACGGCGTATAGTAGACATGATTGCACGAGATACCCCCGAGAAAGTTTCCGCTGCAAATCAACTTCTGAACCTATTCCGTGACAGTAAGAGAGTTTCGCCACTCCGTGGATAGCATAGCATCCTCACGGGCTTGCAGGACAGGTCATTGCTATGGAAGGACACAGGTTTGATGTGACGTCCGTCGCGTTCTCACCAGATGGCTCGCAAATCGCGTCGGGCTCCTGGGACAGCACGATCCGAATTTGGAACGCGGACACCGGAAAGGAAATCCGCGAGCCTTTACGGGGCCACACGCGCATCGTCACTTCGCTGTCGTTTTCCCCCGATGGAAAGCGCCTTGCCTCGGCCTCAAATGACGAGACCGTGCGACTGTGGGACGTGCGGACAGGGCAGCAGACCGGGCAGCCGCTCGAAGGGCATACGTTCTGGGTTTACTGTGTCGCATTCTCACCCGACGGCAACCGCATCGTCTCGGGTTCAGCCGACTACACGCTCCGACTCTGGGATGCGCAGACCGGACAGGCCATCGGCGAGCCTTTACGGGGTCACTCTGGCTTGGTCAAGAGCGTCGCTTTTTCACCGGATGGGAAGCACATCGCCTCAGGATCCATGGACAGCACGATCCGACTCTGGGACGCCGGGACAGGGAAATCAGTCGGGGATCCGCTGCGAGGCCACGACCACTGGGTTTTGTCAGTCGCATATTCCCCCGATGGCGCGCGCATCGTCTCGGGTTCCGACGACAACACCATTCGGATCTGGGACACCCAGACAAGACAGACGGTGTTAGGACCACTGCAAGGGCACGAAAAAGGCGTCACATCCATGGCATTCTCGCCGGATGGCAAGTACGTCGTCTCCGGCTCCTGGGACGGCACGATGCGGATATGGGACGCGCAGACAGGACAGACCGTGGCCGGGCCTTGGGAAGCTCACGATGACAAGTGGGTACGCTCCATCGCGTTCTCGCCCGATGGCAAGCGCGTCGCCTCGGGCGGCGGTGACTACATGGTAAAAATATGGGACGCGGAGATCGTTTAGGCTGGTCTGACGTGTCTGGATGGGATTGTTCGCTAGGTGCGTATTCCGCGCTGGCTCTGCACGGACCTAACTGACGGGCCAATGGCAACGGACAGCATCGAATCATGGACTAGATGTATGCGCATGAAGCTGTGATCCACGATCCAACATCTGCCCAGTCACCATACTACCTTGGACATTCCTCGAAGTTTGGGTGGCGCCGCGAAGGCCTTTAACGCATCTCGTCTCTTGCGTGTATCTTCCAAGTTGTCCATGGACTCGACATGTAGCGTATGCCGTTTGTATTTCCCTTGGTTTACCGATACGCGTTCGTTGAAGCGATAACATTATGTATCACACATTGTGCAAGTAGCGGTCGCCCCAGAGTCGAGAATGTATTAATCTTTGAATTGGTCATGATGGGGGAAGTACAATTATGACTGGCGGTTAACCGGGGTGCCGAGGAAAGAACGATTTCTACGTCCCCACACAGCCGTGTTTCTCATATCCATCGAGCAAAGGTACGCCCAACGAGTTGAAGCGCGATCGGAGCAATGGTGAACACTAGCGCATGGCGACAATGTAAGCTCACCTCATGCATGTCGTCTTCGGTCCCACCCCCATCTTGCGATCAGAGTGCTCCCATCGCGATGATCTTGGTATTTCAAAACGTCTTCGACGTGCGCATCTCCGACGTTCATCGTCCATCCGTCCTCCTCCCAGCTACCTCGCCGTTCTACTCCATCTCGCACGTTCAACACCCGGAAGGTGGTCGCGAGGGCGCACTTCGTGCACAGGTTGGGGATGCGCTGCCGCCAAGTAGGTACCATTGCGCGATAGTCCGCGCAGGGGAGCAAAGTCAGACGCACAGCGTTGCACGCCAGAGCCTCGGAGGACCGACGGTGCCGCATTGCCGTTGACTCGATGTTGACTAGCACATGCACATGGTGACGGCCTTGTTCAATTCGTTTTCCCATGCCCGTGGACATGACGAGGGCGTTTTCCGACACGTATACGTTGAGCGTGTAAAGCATGGCTTTCCGAATGGGCGGCTACATGCTACGCATAAGCATCCGCACGGATACCGGACATGCGGCGAGACCTTACCAGTGTTGGGTACGCGGAGGTATCATGAGTGTAACCGGCCATACGTTACCTCCTCTGCATCTCGGGTTTGAGATCCCGTCGTCGTTCATAAAATGCGGGGAATCGTGGCACTGGGCGCATGTGAGACTGCGCTCGAAGCGTCGAAGATGTATCGCGACGCACCTCGGGCACGCATGCGCGAACGAAAACCGACGACGCACTCATAGGTTGCTATGCAGCGTTCGCCAACGGGACGACTTCGAATTAGGAGGGCTAGCAGATGCCGGAAACACTTCTTGAGCTGCTACTCGACTCATTCACCGCAACTGTGGATGAGATCGGAAGACAACGCATACATCGGAGGCGCGCACATGCGTTGGATCTCCCAGACGAGTATCTCCCGTGGTGAACGCGTCCTGATAGAACTTGCGTGCAGCTGGAACGTCAACAAATGGGCTCGTAGACAGCGAAGGCGATATGTCGCCATCGGAGGCTTGACGGGGTTTGATGCATGACGTCCAGCGAGGCAGATACATGGGTTGCGAGGAGTCGGAAGGGCCCAACGCGGGCGGAGGACTTGGACGCAGCGGCAAAGGACTTGGGCATACGTGGGGGCGGACAAGTCACCTGCGCCTCACCGGGAATCGGCAGTGATGCGAATACAGAGTCCGCGTTGAAACGTTCCGCGCGGTGGGAGACATGTGGGGGTGGCCATAGAGTACGAGAGCGAAGCTGCGAGAACGCGAAAATGTCGATGACGTCGGGATCGCCGGGATCGCTTCCTCGTGAGTCGTGAACCTCTCGCCGACTTTGACTTCGACCCCGGCTGTGACTTCACACTATGCTTCCGCGCTCGAAGCGTCCCGTTCAAGCTTGGGCCAGACCGGTTCTGTCATCTCAGCTCTCTCTTCTGGCTACTGGCATTGGCAAGTATCAAATCCTCCCACGCGACCTACCGACATCCCTGGGCAAGCATCCCGTATGGAGCCGCAAGCGCAGTGTTCGTTCGCCGACGATATATGACACCTTCATTGGGGCTGTTCGTCAACACGGATATCCTAGTGAGTACTACATCGTCCTACGCTTCATGGCTGCCCGAGAGGTTGGTGGTACGAGATCGGCTGGGGGGAGCGTTGGAGTCCCCGAAACCTCGGCAAGTGATCGTACCGAGCGCCTGCTCGGGCTGACCTCCTTAGATTCTGTCTTCCTCTCTCTGTGCGATCCGAGCTGAATTGATGCATCACAGACGCGCCACTCCGGAGGATGTTGGCCTCTTGATCGTTTCAGGCCTCCTTGGTATACGGCGCGACGCAGACTTGTGTCTATTCTGGAGACCCTAGCGTCTAGGTCTATTCGCCCGCGACGAGAGGCTGGAACCTTTTCCGAAACAATCGCTCTTCTCTGTCGCACTTCCCTATGGACTCGGACACGACACCCGCGGCAGGCGTACCCAAGATCCAACGAGTAATGGGCCCGTTCATGCACAGGGAGCCCCCTGGTCACACCATATGTTAACTTGACTGCGCAGAAAGTCGCCGCAGGTCGTCACAGGTCCGTCTACCATCCTCGTCTTATCACCCTTTTCGACCACCAAGCTCATAAGCTTAGCGTTTTCATAGGAACTCGGCTTGTCTCAGCTCTTGGATCGTCCACCGGAGAGCGTCCGGACATGACCACCGGAGCCGATTTACGCAGCATCTCGCAAGGTACGACGCTTCGGCACGCCAAGAAAGAGGCAAATGCGAGTGCTCACTGTTCCGATGCATATAGGCGATCCGAGCTCGATGACGAGCGTCAAACCTTCATCGAAGTGCTTCGACGCGGGAGGCTCGCGTCCTACATGCCGCACATCGGGTCTATGGCCGGCGTACATGATTACAAGATACGCAGAACAGCGTCCGTCAGGAGACCATGACAGCCTTCACAGAGATTCCGATGGATACTCGACCAGCTCGTAGACCTGTCATCCAGCCCTTCGGCAATCGCCTGCACCGCAATATTGGGCGCGCGCATACACTGACCCCGACAATCAAAGGCTTCGCGCACATGGATCTTCGGCGATACGATCTCATCCAGCGCCGTGCTCGGTGCATATGCGAACAGCGTTGTCGCCCTTGAGGTGGGTTGATTTCTTACCGGCGGGATCGTCGTCGTGCGCTGAACTGGCCTTTTCGACGATTCAGGCATGACCAGCACTGCCCTTCCGGCAGGATTTGACCCCTTGGCGTGCAAACGCAAAGTTTTCGGGAGGTGTCCAAGCTTCCAGGCCCGGATCCGCGGCGTCGACGTGCATTCCACTCCGCCGAACTATCGCAGTCCCCCCTGAACTCGTATTCGTCGAGTTGGACCAACTGTACACTTTCACGAATCCGCTCGACTGCACCACGGAGCATTGTATGATATCGAATGATATCGAATAGAAAATTACTGTCCCTCGCGTATGCATACAGCGTTGGTGACATCGAGTCCTTCAGTTGGCTGAATGCGTGAGGCCGGCGGATCATCAGCACTTAGGTACTTCTACTTGAAGGCAAAACCGTGGTGTTTTCACTCCAACGTATCCGTCCAGGGACAAACTTCAGATGAGCCAGCGACGTGACCCCTACGCAGCATTGAAGCCCACGAGCATACGGTGCGCGTACGGGTGTGTCGAAGAAGCCGCACAGTTTCAGGGAGGTAGGAGTACATGCTAGTGAATATCTGGAGAGCCCGAAACCTCGGACTGGCACGACGATATGGAAGGTCTTCGGCGCTCAAGCGGTTGCTCGGGAAATGGGTTGAGCCAAAAACAGTTTGGTTTCTGGGTGAAGCGAACAGGTGGAGAGCAAGCCTGAAGGCATTTGAGAGGTCATCGTCGTGCTCGACTACCCGTACTCACGATCGCCTTGGCCGTATGACGTCCTCCGGGACACTTGCCGTTGCATCGGGCCATTGATCTCCTGAGATAGCAACGCAGGGCTCAGGTCGATTCAGTCAATCCTCCTCGCTATGTTCGAGTCAATCCATACGGCGTATAAGCACCTGCACTAGCTCCGATACCGGAGGCGTGATCTATCTACAGCCCCCTCTTGAGTTCAAACACGGAGAAGGAGATATCCATGAACACACCGAAGGGGTTCCTCTCCTCGCGGTTCCGACCGCCCGTCGTGTCTTCTTCGCAGCCTAGCCGCCACCCCACTTTCTTGACGGTTGATGCGTGCAGCGACGGGCTCGCGGGGACAGCTGCAAGAAGCGGTGCAGGCCTGCGCATAACCCAATGATCACGGACGCCCCCCTGGCCATAACATGTATGAAATCGCGAGCAAGGATTCCGACGCATCCGCCTGATGCCGCGGTCTGTCTAGGTACAAGTGGCTAAGAGACTTCACCGCAAAGGCGTTATCCAGAGGTCCTAAGCAACAGCATAAGCCGGATACACAGGGAACGCGGTTTGCGTTGATACCCCGATCCTCACAGGTAATATGTATCACCGAGCGGTCGCGCGGTAGCGACAGAGGGCATTTTATGTTGACGAGGTGCCGGCGCGGCTGTAGATTGCTGCAGGAGACCTGTTAGATTTCGGTTCCGTCGGTACATCGTAGAACCGTGAACGGGATCGACGCATGCATTGCGAGGAGAGGAGCTGAAGAACTGACTTGAGCGGCGCTGCGGCGAGGACCGTGGACGCAGCGTGCGGACAAGTCGCTCGATCCCCCACAGGGACTCGACAGTAGTGACTCGATGCAGAACTCGCGTTGAGGGGTAAGTAGTGGTGGAGATGCCGACGTGACGATAGAGGAGTGCGAAACTTGGGCCGCGAGGCATCTGCCGAAGCTCTTTGAAGTGTCTTGCTCAAGCGCTCGCGCTCATGCATCAATGTATCCATGCCTCAACGAACTTCTTTCTCCAACTGCCACACGACCTCGCTCGTCAGATGCTATTCGGATCGATATTGAATAGCCCTTCGGTTTCGGTGTCTGTTACTCCGCGATGCATCCGTCCTCCTCCCTGGCATCGTACGCGTGGATCAGCGCACCCAGAAGTCAACGCGGGCGCTCGACGTTCAATCCCGACCTGCTCGTATCTCAACGACTCCATTTGGCCCTTCCAAGTCATCATGTGTTCTACCCACGCATGAACCGCGTGCCCGCACCTCGCGCTTAACGACTCGTTCTACGACTCGAAAGAGTTTGACCGTCGAGGACTCGAGCTAAGACCGCGCACTATCGACGAGTGGATGACATCTTCCTTTCAATGTGGCGTCCCGCATAGTACGTAAACGGACCCCCATCCCGCAGCCTGCGCTCAATAGTGTGTTCCGCATCCCGCTAGCGAGGCGGAGTGCTAGCGCCCGCAATCAAGCAACCTTCGAGAATACGTCGAGCAAATACAATGCATGTGTGGCGAAGGAATGAAGAAGACTAACGAGGGCGGAAAGGTCAAGGTCTTGGGGCAAGGGCGCGTACACGTGAGGGCGGACAGAGCCTACGTTGGGTGGAGATGCATGTGCGACCGCGGACGGACAGGCTCAGAGAGGAAGGGGGAAGCGCCGCTGACTTCGGAAATACCCATGCCACGAACTCAGTCGACGTCCATCTCTTGCGCCTCCTGTGACTTGGTCGGCTCCCCTTGCGTCCGTGCACATTCGAAGTTCGGATCGAAACTCTAGATACATAGCTCAAAGGTTTCGTGGAGTCTTCTCTGGCTCCACCTCAACGCCGATAGCTACAGAGTTTAGCACGAACGGAGCCCGAACGGCTTGCAGATACGCACGATCGACATGCTAGCGCTCATATCCGCTCAACATGCGACTTGCATGCACTGGAGAAGAATCCACGCCGAGAACAACCCGACGGGTTTAGCTACATTGCGTGCACGGCGCGGTAAACGTTATATTACCCCTCCTCACCGTGTTCCTCTCAACCCCCTCTCCTCCCTCCACACCATCAGTCCTCGATGTCGGACCAGCCTATCCATACGCCATCGGACTCGAGCAGCGATCGCCCACCACCGCCCGCTGTCCTGGAAAATGCGGCGTCAGGGAGCGGTGCAACTCCAATTGCCGAAGAGACACGGGGCACAACGCCGGGGCTTGCTGTGCCAGAGAGTGACGAAAGGTTTCCGTGCGGCTGCCTGAAAAATGTGCCAGAGAGTGACAAAAAGCCTTCGTGCGGCTCCCCGAAAAAAGGCCGGAACCTCGTCGTATGCATCGACGGAACTGCGAACCAGTTCGGCATGAAGGTCAGAACGTCTTTACAGCCCCCTACCCCAATTCTTCGACGAACATACTCCCGTAGAACACGAATGTCGTCGAACTATACAGCCGCCTCGTCAAAGACGGCGAGCAGCTCGCGTACTACGACAGCGGGATTGGAACGTACGCCAAGGAGCGCTTCTCGCTGCACTACGTGGCGCAAGTCGTTGATCACACCATCGACTTGGCTATCGCATGGTGCGTAGAGATAGATGTATGCCGAAATCGTCTCCCTGACAGGTAGACGTCCTCAGGAACTTCGAGGAGATAGTCCTGAAAGCCTATGAATGGTTGTCAGAGAACTATCAGGAAGACGATCGCATCTTTTTATTCGGTGTGTTTCCTGAGCGTCTTCTTCCCCGTGTACCTCATGCATGCATAGGGTTTTCTCGCGGGGCTTATCAGGCTCGCGTCATCGCTGGTATGTTACAGAAGGTATGGCCATATATATCGGGCACATCGCGAAGATGATGAACAATCCTCTTTCAGGTTGGCCTCCTCGAGAAAGGAAATAATAGGCAGATCCGCTTGTACGTGCACCGCTGCTTGCCAGAGCCTGAACACGATGAACGACGATGGGTACTAGCGCATACGAACTGTATAGGGCAGCCACAGCTCACGAGAAGAGGGGATCTGATGATAAGCAGCCAACGCAGTCGGACGTCGAGCAGATAACCAGAATAAAGAGGCTCCTACGAAAGATCATGCGGGAGTCACCCGCCGATGACCTTGAAAGTCATCCGATCACAGTCCAGGAGAAGGAGCGCTCAACCCCTGGTCGTCCCGGCAAGAAAGACAGCCTGTGGGAGAAATTTCTGAAGAAGTGGAAGGGGAAAGCATCCTCGGCGGAGGACCTGTGCAAGCACTTCAAGTTGACTTTATCTCGTCAAAATGTGAAAGTGCACTTCGTCGGTGCATGGTACGTGACGCCCTTGTAAATGCGGAGGCACCCATTGATGTAGTTTATCTAGGGACACCGTATCGTCTGTCGGTGTTGTTAGGAACCGTACTCTTCCAGAAACGACCACTGGGATGTCACACGTTTGTGCTTTCAGACACGCGCTTGCGTTGGATGAACGACGCGTGAAATTTCTGCCCGAGTACGCTAATGGAGGAGCTGGGCCGAAGGAAAGCAAGGGCAACGTCAAAGAGGTATGGTTCGCAGGCTCTCACTCAGATATGTAAGCAAAATACATCGTACGAACGAAATCTTCCGATGGACGCTGACAGAAACCGTCGCAGCGGGGGAGGGAACCTACCGAACCTTGAAAGCGACCGTTTTGGACCAGCGCTTCGCTGGATGACGTCCGAAGCCACGCTCTGGGGGCTTCGGATGAAAGACGATAGGGGCAAGTGGTATCCGTCACAACTGACCAAGTCGATGAACTGGTTCTGGTGGTTTCTCGCTTGCCTACCGATCAAGCGGCTATCGTACGAAGACGCGGAGAGCACAAAGAGATGGCAAGTTCGCCTTCTGGCTTATGGTGTCGTGAACATCCACTCATACCACGCAGGCCTCATCTTGCGGCACCTCGGCAGGTGATGGAGGGTCAACTCATTCATGAGTCTGTCTCCGACGTCGGGGAGACGTACACACCTCGTGCTCGGCTTCCGCCTGCCTACCCCGTAGGCTGGGATTTTAACGAGCTGAAGTCCGCAGGGAGGATAGAAGAAGACACCTACGTCTCCGCCCGTGCGATCATCGGCGCTCTTCAAAAAGGTGTCGCTCTTACCGAGAGGCAAATACAGCGGCTGGCAGATCTGCCTTCGTCAGGCAAGTGATTGCTTTCTTCTAGTTGAAAAACAATAATAAAGGAATCGGTCAGATCATGGACGACAGCTCATTATCGACTATCCAAACTCCGGTACGGTATTGCTCGACGCGCTTGAACGAGAATGCGGACGCGAAGATGGAGACACGCGATCAAACCTGCTCAGAAGCATTGCGATGGCAACGACAGCGTTCCGTTTGGTGCCTCATGCTCGGACGCGCGCAGTAGCAAAGCTACGGCGCATAGTAGACATGATTGAACGAAATACCCCCGAGAACATGTCCGCTGCAAATCATCTCCTGAACGTGTTCCGTGACAGTAAGACAGTTTCGCCACTCCGTGGATAGCATAACATCCTTACGGGCTTGCAGGACAGGTCATCGCTATGGAAGGGCACGAAAGTCTTGTGACGTCCGTCGCGTTCTCACCAGGTGGCTCGCAAGTCGCGTCGGGCTCCTGGGATAATACGGTCCGAATTTGGAACGCGGACACCGGAAAGGAAATCCGCGAGCCTTTACGGGGGCACACTGACTGGGTCCGATCGGTGTCGTTTTCCCCCGATGGAAAGCGCCTTGCCTCGGCCTCACATGACAGGACCGTGCGACTGTGGGACATGGAGACAGGGCAGCGGATCGGGCAGCCGCTCGAAGGGCATACAGACGTGGTCCAGAATGTCGCATTCTCACCCGACGGCAACCGCATCGTCTCGGGCTCACGCGACGAGACGCTCCGACTCTGGGACGGGCAGACGGGACAGGCCATCGGCGAGCCTTTACGGGGTCACTCTGCCTATGTTAACAGCGTCGCATTTTCACCGGATGGGAAGCACATCGCCTCTGGATCCAGCGACCACACGATTCGACTCTGGGACGCCGAGACAGGCAAGCCAGTCGGGGACCCGCTGCGAGGCCACGACCACTACGTTTTGTCAGTTGCATATTCCCCCGATGGCGCGCGCATCGTCTCGGGCTCCGACGACAAGACGGTCCGGATCTGGGACACTCAAGCAAGACAGACGGTGTTGGGGCCATTGGAAGGGCACGAAAGCATGGTCTACTCCGTTGTATTCTCGCCGGATGGCCAGTACATCGTCTCCGGCTCCGACGACGGCACGATCCGGATATGGGACGCGCAGACGGGACACACCGTGGCGGGGCCTTGGCAAGCTCACGGTGGCCTGTATGGGGTCTACTCCGTCGCGTTCTCGCCCGACGGAAAGCGCATCGTCTCGGGCGGCGATGACCGCATGGTAAAAATATGGGAAGCAGAGATCTATTAGGCTGGTCTGGCGTGTTGGGATGGGATTGTTTACTAGGTGCGTATCTTGCGTTGGCTCTGCACGGACCTAACTGACGGGCCGATGGCAACAGACAGTGTCGAATCATGGACTAGATGTATGCGCATGAAGTTGTGGTCATCCGCGATCCAACATCCGTCCAGTCACCATACCACCTTGGACAATCCCCGTAGTTTGGATGGCGCCCCGAAGGGGCCCTTGACCCGTCTCGCCTGTTGCGTGCATCTTCCAAATTGTCCATGGACTCGACATGTAGCGTATGCCGTTTGTATTTTCCTGGGTTTACAGATGCGCACTCGTTGATGCGGTACCCTTGTGTATCACTCATCGTGCAAATAGCGGTCGCCCCAGAGTCGACAGTGTATTATTCTTTGGATTGGTCATGACGGGGAAGTACAAATATGACTGGCGGTTAACCGGGGGTGCCGAGGAAAAAACGATTTCTACGCCCCCGCACAGCCGTGTTTCTCATGTCCATCGAGCAAAGGTACGTCCAACGAGTTGAAGCGCGGTCCTGAGGAGAGCAATATCAATGGTGAACACTAGCGCCTGGCGACAATGTAAGCTCACCTCATGCATGTCGTCTTCGATCCCACCCCCATCTTGCGATCAGATTGCTCCCATCGCGATGATCTTGGTATTTCAAAACGTCTTCGACGTGCGTACCTCTGATCATCGTCCATCCGCCCTCCTCCCAGCTACCTCGCCGTTCTACTCCATCTCGCACGTTCAATACCCGGACGGTGGTCGCGACGGCGCACTTCGTGCACAGATCGGGGATGAGCTGCGGCCAGGTAGTTGCCATTGCGCGATAGTCCGCGCAGGGGAGCAAAGTCAGACGCACAGCGTTGCACGTCAGAGCCTCGGAGGACCGAAGTGCCGCATCGCCGTTGACTCGATGTTGACTGGCACATGCGCATGGTGACGACCTTGTTCAATCCGTTTTCTCACGCCCGTGGACATGACGGGGGCGTTTTCCGACACGGATACGTTTCAGCGTTGCTAGTGTAAATCACGGCTTGAGCTCTGGCGGGGGAGCTACATGCTACGCGTAAGCATCCACACAGATACCGGACATGCAGCAAAAACTCACCAGTGTTGGGTGCGCGGAGGTATCATGAGTGTAACCGGCCATACATTGCCTCCTCTGCATCTCGGGTTTGAGATCCCGTCGTCGTTCGTGAAATGCGGGGGATCGTGGTACTGGGCGCATATGTGAGACTGCGCTAGAAGCGTCGAAGATGTATTGCAACGCACCTCGGGCACGCATGTCCGAACCAAAAGCGACGACGCGCTCATGGGGTGCTATGCAGCGTTCGCCAACGGAACGACTTCGAATCAGGAGCGCTAGCAGATGCCGGCAACACTTCTTGAGCTGCTACTCGACTCATTCACCGTAACCGTGGATGAGGTCGGAAGACGATGCAGACATCAGGGGCGCGCACATATGTTGGATAGCCCAGACGAGTAAGATAGGGCTCATCCAAAACCGGGGAGGCTTGAAGTCACGTGTCGCCACTGCGGCGAGCAGGAATTCCGCGTTCCAGCCCCCCCAGTGGCGGTGCTCAGGAGTGTCTTGAACGCTAAATTACTGCTTGCAGCTACATTGTTTGTCAGAACTGAAAACATCACGGGCCATGTTGTGCAATCATACAGCTCTTGACGAAGCAATTTTTACTGAAGATGCATACTCATCGTATAATTTCAACATCATCCCGATTCACTCGAGAAGATGTCACGTGACTTCCCCGGTTTTGGATGAGCCCTATCTTATCTCCCGCGGATCATCCATCCTGATAGAACTTCCAGGCAGCAGGAACATCAGCAGATGGGTTCGTACAAAGCGAGAGCGATGTGTCGTCGTCGGAGTCTTGACAGGGTTTGATGCATGATCTCCAGCGAATCAGACACTGGGGTTGCGAGGAGTCGGGCAGGCCCGACGCGGACGGAGTACTTGGTTGGCCTTGAGCGGCAAACGACTTGGGCATACGTGGGCGCGGACAAGTCACCTACGCCTCACCGGGCATCGACAGTGATGCGGATACAGGGCCCGCATCGAGAGGTTGAGCGCAGCGGGCAAGCGGGGGGAGACATGTGCTGTAGTGGCCACAGAGGATGTCGATGACGTCGGGATCGGCGGGGTCGCCTGCTCGTCAACCTCTCGCGCCGACTTTGACTTGTCTGACCTTAGACTCAGTGTCCCGTCCACTTTGGGCCAGACCACTTTCGTCGTGTCATCTTCTCTCTTCTGGCCGTAGCGGGATGCGAACACGGGCGCATGTGTGTGTTTGAGGGTCGATATTGGACAAAAGACTGAGCGCAGGCGTAAGGACGCATGGCGAGTGCGCAGAGTCCGAGGACGACGTCGCTGCTCGTCGGTCTACACGCTCGGCATCTCCCAGCGCTCGTCGAAGACTCGCTCAGCTCGGCCAGTTCGTCGCGCTCTCAGCACTGTTCTTCGTACGACCTCCGTCTGACAGATCTGTGGTCGGTTCTCTCGTGAGCCATGTCCTCCCGACGCTCACTGGGCCAAGGTCCTCAAGAAGTCGCAAGCACGGGAGATGCCAATTATAGCGCATCATCGGGAACATAGAGTGAGCGGCCCGTGCCCCGCACTCCACGGCGGGCCCGCGAGGTTACCGGTGCGCTTCACTAGGGAGATTGTGAATTCCCCGAAACCTCAATGTGGAACGTTAAGCGCGCGGCCGCTTACCTGGGTCAACCTTTTTTTTTCTGTTTCTGTCCTCCTCTCCTCTCGCTGCCCCCTGGTCGCGTGTTGAAAAAAGTACAGGCTCAAACGCCAATCAAGATGCTCAGGGTTCTCCCTCAAACACATAGCGGTCTCGGCTACCCAGGGCGTAGCGCGGTGACGCTCACGTTCCGCAAGCCAAGTTGGAACTCCAGCAGAACGGACTTTGCTATAGCCTTCGTACTTCAAGTCATTGCCTGCCTCTCTGCAACGATGCACGCTCACCTCGTGTATCGAGAGCGAGCCATGCCGGATGAACGCGCTTCCACGGGCTTCAGGGCGGGAAAGGGTCATGGATCAATCATTATGTACGCCCGCCGGTTCCTATCGCAGTACCGAGTTGTACGACCTGTTCACGTCTTTTTCCTACCTCATACATCAGGAAATGCCCCCTCTGGCAAATAGGAATACATAGTTCATAATACGACTATATTCTATTAAAATTTCACAAAAAGGCCAAAAAGTCACATAAAACTGTTAAATCATGCCAGATGACTGACCATTTAGAGAGTACTGTCTTGTAGGTACAAGGGAGATTGAAAACATCGACATAGAAGGTTGTTGCACATATTAGCACTGGTCCATGTACAAGGAGCTTAGAGTCCATATCTAGGTGTAAGTATTGGAGTTAGGGTTTGGTACTTGACTGCTGACACCTCATCCTTGCATGGCTCCCTCTGTGATATCAATTAATCCCATCTACCCCTAGTTTATATACACATCTTGCATGTACATCTGAAAAGCCAGATATCTCTGTAGCCAACAACATAGTTATGTACCCTGTAGATCACTGAAGTGATGGCTAGGAAACACTGTTATAATGGTTTAGTCTCAGGTGGTTGATTTCTCTAATGTGCCATTCATTTACCATTGACAGCCTCATGAACTGAAATGTATCTCTATGTACTTTGGGATTGCTATGACATAGAGATACAGTAGCCAACCAGTAGCCAACACGGACTTAGGAGATTCAACGCGAATGAACCCGTCACGTGACCTGACCGTGACCAGTCTGCCCTCCGGCTTGTCTGGTCAGCCTGTCTCAGCCCACCGTGCTGGCGCCCGGCGCCGCGCTTGCAAGTGCGCACGTCGTGCAGGTCCCCGCCGTCGCACCCCGCCCCGACACTTGAAGTGCCCGCTCCGCCGCCCCTGCCCGAGGGAGAGCCGCCAACGCGGTCTCGCTCGGTGCAGCGAGGTTTATACATCGCTCGCGTGAGCAAACCGCGCGATGGCTATCCGGCCGCAGATATCGGCGCGGACGAGCGCGCTAACACGTCCCCCGGCAACTTTCACTCGCGGCCACGAGCGGCGAACGTGGCGTGAGCGCAGAGGGCGATGGACTTCTACGCCAAGCATCCGACAACAAGGCAAAGGTCTGTTATTGCAGTCCCCGCCGCTAGCTCATGTTGACCCGTGGGATCGTAGGGTTACCAGTGTGTATTTCAAGTCACTCTACGCCCCTCATCAAGAGGTAAAAGAGGTGGCGCATGAGGGCTTGCAACTGGTCTTAGCGCATCAAAACCGCTTGCCGAAAGAGTTGTTGCAGACCGGTCTCCGTCCAATACTGATGAATCTGGCGGACCCGAAACGACTGTCCGTGTCCGGCTTGGAAGGTCTTGCCCGCCTTCTGGAGCTCCTTACGAACTACTTCAAGGTCGAGATCGGTCAGGTCCTCCACAAGAACAGCGAGTCGAGCGGGTTCGACGCGCCCAAGGCCCTCACCTCCCGCGCGGGCGTGAAGGCCTACGCCGTCTCCGTCAAGTCCTCCGCCGGCGGCACCATCCGCTCCGTGCGCTCCATCGCCGAGTCCGTCTCCAGCTAGCTCCCGCCTCTGCCGTATGCCCATCCCCGAGTGCGAGCCGCCAAAGCGGTCGCGCTCGGCGTAGCGTTCTCCCCCGCGCCCGCCGTCGCACCCCGCCCGAGCACTCGAAGTGCCCGTCCCGCCGCCCCCAGCTTCTGCCCTGCTGCCCCTGCCGTTTGCCTGGCCCCGAGCGCGAGCCGCCAACGCGGTCGCGTTCGGAACCGCTTCCTCCACCCCCTGCCCTGCCGTCTGCCCATCCCCGCGTGCGAGCCGCCCAAGCGCCCTCGCTCGGCGCCGCTTCTACCCCCGCGCCCGCCACTCGCCCAGCACCGAACGCGAGCCGCCAACGCGGTCGCGCTCGGCGTAGCTTCTTCCCCCGCGCCCTCCATTCGCCCAGCACTGAACGCGAGCCGCCAACGCGGCCGCGCTCGGCGTAGCTTCTTCCCCCGCGCCCGCCATTCGCCTAGCACCGAACGCGAGTCGTCAACGCGATCGCGCTCGGTGTCACCTCTGTCCTCGCGCCCTCTTTCACTCAACGCCGAGTGCGGTCGCGCTCGGCCTTGTCTCCTTCCCTGGCGCCTACCTTCGTCCAGCCCCGATCGTGAGCCGCCAATGCGGTCGCGCTTGGCGCAGCTTCCCTCTCCTCCCGTTCGCCCAGCCCGGAGCGCGAACTGCGTACGTGTTCGGCTTAGCGTCTCCGCTGCGCCAAAGCACCCACCTCCACGGTGCCAGTGCGCTCGACATCTGCTGCGCCAACGCGCTTGCTCCTGCCCGAGCCCGCGTGTTTGTCCCGGACTGCCCCAATGCGCGCGGCGTGTCCGCCTTTACCTGCGTCAACGTGGCCAGGTCCGCTGCGCCAACGCGCCCGATGTCCGCTGCGTCAACGCGGCCAGCTCCGCTGCGCCAACGCGCCTGATGTCCGCTGCGCCAACGCGCCCGATGTCCGCTACGCCAACGTGCTTGCTCCGGACTGCGCCAAGCCTGCTGCCTTGCCATCCCCCACCCGGCGCACCCGTGCTCGACCCCACCTTGCCTTCAGTGCTGGACTCTGTGGTGCTGCCGTGCTCCATTTTGCCTCGCCGCCGTGCTCGATCTATTCAGCTGCCGTGCTCGACCCTGCCTCGCCTCCCGTGCTTGAAGCTGCACGTCTGCTATGGTCGAAGGCACATGTTTCCCGTACTCGAAGCTCCCGGCAATGGGTGACGCTCGGTCTCTCGCCCGCTGCCATCGACCTGCTTTACTCGTGCCCCACTCGATGCCACTCTGGCACCCCACGCTTGGGGTGTGCCGCAGTTGATTCGACATGCTCATCGCAGCAGGCTTGACGCACATGCCACGGCCGGCTGAACTCTAACCATAGAGTATATTGTAATGTAATACACCAATGCCATCTGTTTTGGCTCCCCATGAGATATGGCACAATAAGAAGAAGATTGAATCACACATGTATACAGATTCCTGCACAATGTAATTATAATACCTGATGAATGGATAGTACACATGACCAAATTCTGAAGACATCTAACAAGATGTGACATGAAGTCTGGAGGTTTCTGGTGTTATTTGAACCAAAATATATCATATTGAAGAGATGATTGATGTTACAAATCACCAAAATATGCCCAAAAAGTTCATAAAATTCCACATATTTGTGAACATTTTGTGACAAATGCTCAGGGGGACCTTCCAGATATCCTCATTTTTGTACTTATGTCCTCCTATTAGCTCCTATATGTTCCTATATACTGTAAAAGGCCCAAAATGGCTTTATCTGCATGGATAGTCC